CCTAACGTAGCCTAACGTAGACCAATGTAGCCTAATGTAGCCTAACGTAGCCTAACGTAGACCAATGTAGCCTAATGTAGCCTAACGTAGCCTAATGTAGCCTAAGGTAGCCTAATGTAGCCTAATGTAGCCGTCAGAGTCAGATGATGAAGGGTTTACTTTGAATTATCTAAAAAGTAGACTCTCTGGTCCTTTGGGTTTTCTGTAAGTCTCAATCAGACCAGATCCAGCCCTACCTGTTACAGGTGCTTTCTCAAAGGAGCTGCTGTAAGTCTCAGTAAAACTAAAAGCCACATCATGTCAGGGTCTCACAGAAGAATCAAACAGAATTTGTGTAATTTACTTTTTCATTTCTAGGCTGTAGTGTGTGTTTTTACATCCTTTGATACAAACGTCCTGCTGACTTCCCTTTTTGTCTTGCTTCCACAGTGTTCATCTCGCTGATGCCCTTATTGTTTCTTTTGACCGTTACCTTCCCTCTGTCTCTGTTACTTTGCTAGAAGTGTGCATACTGCAGGAAGCGAATGAAGAGGGAGATGAAGGGCTGCTATGTGCAGTGCTCTCATGGGCGTTGCTCCACAGCTTTTCACCCCACCTGTGCTCAGGCAGCAGGTGTCCTCATGTATCCAGATGACTGGCCCTTCATAGTCTTCATCACCTGCCACAGACACAGAGCGCCCGTCATACCTGAGGTAAACTAGCAGAKCTTTTCACCTAACTTTTACTAGGCCTATAACTGGGGCAGATATTTTAAGATTTTTTTACTTCRTCTGCTACCTTTCATTTTATTCTGTTTGTATTTTTTGTTGTATATGTTTTGTTAAATGAAATGAATAAATAAATAAAAACTATAGTGAAACCTTAAAGGGCCGATATTATGTTTCTCAGGCATATAGTTCAATTCTATACCACAATAAAGTAACTATGTCACATTCTGTGGTTATGAAAATGCTGTTTATATTTATTAATCAAACATAAACTTGACTTCACATCACAGCTGTTTCTAAACGCCTGAAAATGGCCTCTGTCTCTTTAAGAACCTCCTTCCACAACTGTCACGCCCATTTCAGCTTGTCTTCACAACAGCTTCATGCCGTTTACAACCTGGAGCGTTGTAGCCTACTTTGTAATAATAATAAAAAAGCAACAACAGTATACAATATTGGTTTTTGAAAATTGCAACTCAAGATACAATTGAACCTTAAGGCCCTGTCACACTAGACAACTTATGTCAACTTATGAAACAGTTTTTATGTCTAAATTGCTAATAAAAGTTATATATTTGATCAGTTTGTTCAAATTACATTGTGTACACGCCGAAAAGAAGCTTCCTGTTGATTTTCTTCAATTCCATCTTCAATGTAGATGGCTTTAAAATGTTCTGAAGTTGGTATAAGTTGACTAGTGACAGGGCCTTTACCATCGGACCAGAAGGTATGTTTTCTGAAGAACTGGAGCGAGTAGAGCGGGGACGTTACAGCTGGTAACAGGAACTAAAAAATACGAACACATATCCCTGGTTCTGGCTTCTCTCCATTGGCTTCCTGTTCACTTTAGGATAAATTTTAAGATTTTATTGCTTAGTTTTAAAGCTTTAAAAGGTCTGGCCCCATCCTACCTGTGTGATCTCATTAACATCCACACTTCAGTTAGAGCACTTCAGTCCAACCAGTTCCTCTTAGATGGTCCTGGATCCAGACAAGTTCAGAGGTGATCAGGCCTTTGCAGTCTCTGCACTAAAACTCTGGAATGGTTTACCTCTTAGCATTCAGACTGCTGAGACTGTTGACTTTTAAATCTCTACTTAAAACTCATTTTTACTCCCTGGCTTTCATTCTGGTAGAGTTTGAGATTCTTTTAATGATAATGTTTTTAATGTTTTTCTGTATTTTAAATTGATTTTATTGTCTACATTTATGTGTTGCTCTCTTGTTGTATTCATTTGGCTGAATTGTGAAGCACTTTGGTCAACTTCTGTTGTTTTTTATGTGCTATATTAATAAATTTACATTGACGTTGGTAAAACCCACTCATCCTCTCTCTCTCACACACACACACACGTCAATGTTAAGATAATTTATTTATTACTAAAATGTGGTGTAAGCTGACTAAAGAACACAGATCATAATGTATAAGTTAATGATAACCAAAGATCACAGATAAACCAAGCAACTGAACCGAACACATAAGTTGTTTTTCAGCTCATCAAGGCAGATAATAACAGTGTTTGTGTCCTTCCGAGTGTTGGAATTGCATATATACAGTGTGTATATATA